ACACCGTAGTCCTCAAGCTGACATCTTTGCTCTTCTATACTTTAAAGAGGTCTTGTGCAGCAGGTTTGCCTAATGCAATATGTCGGTTGATTTCTTCACTGCTGCTTCTATGAGTGTTGATGGTTGATCCAAACAAAATGAACTCACTGACAACTGCAATCTTTTCTCCATCTATCATGGTGTTATTTACTGGTCCAGTTTTGAGGAGTTTTGTTGTCTTTACATTCAGATGCAACGCATACTGAAAGCTGTGGTCTTTGATCTTCATCAATAACTATTTCATCTTCATCAATAAGTATTACATATTGTTGTGGGTTAAATTGTGCCCCCCCCCCCAATATGTGTTGTAAAACATGTTAACTGCGATATCTCTGTGGTTATAATAATTCCATTTGGGAATGGGTTTCCTTAGTTACATTAAAAGGTCACATGGAGTATTTATTAAGCCAATCACTTTTGAGATGTAAATCAAGCCAATTAGGTCAGAGGAGCAAGCAGAGATGCATGAAGAGCGATCCCACCCACCACACATGGATTACCTAGGAACCCAGGAACAAGACCTTCCCCTGAGCTGACAGAGAGAGAGCCCTCCCCTAGAGTCATAGAGCCAGTATCCTGCATTCAGACTTCCAGCTTCTAAAACTGTGAGAAAACAAACTTCTGTTTGTTAAAGTCACCCTGTGTGGTATTTCTCTTTTAGTGTCAAAACTGCTACAACACATATATCTTTTTCAACATTTTAACTTACTTTGTTGCTCCAAACACATGTGTCTGCTATGTGTTAAGTGGAATCGTATGAATTTGCCAATATTTGACCTACAAATAGCACTTCTGGGGACTGGTCAGTGGTATCCTGCTGAGTTTAAAATAAGCTGCCTCAGAAGCAGAAGAGGGGATCTCACTGCCATCAAAGAAGAAGAACCAGGAATGGAGTGTGCCCTTTGGACGCCGAGATCCCTGAACATTGAACTTCAACTCTGAGACAGAAAGCTGAGACATGGAGGGATGGTAGAGGAGCAGGTCAAGCTGAGTGACTTGGGGCAGGAGGCTGGCTTGCAGAGTGGGGTGCTTTTAGGCACTTAATTGGGGAGCTAAGTCTGCTGGCCCACAGAGCTATTGTCGTGTGCTTTCAGTCTGATGAGTATGGTAGGTGGGCATTTATCAGTAGCTCTAAAAGAGTTTGATAACCTTACCCAGAGAGGGGCCGGCCTGTGGGCACGGCTGAGGAGAGGGTGTCCTGACAGGAAGAATTGTACCAATGACACTCTGACCCTGAACTGTGACCTGTTAACATCCCTGAAAAACCCCATAAAACTGGGGGAAAAAAACAGCCCTTTCATAATTCAGACTTAGATGGTTCTTTACAAAAGCATGAAATAGGATTCCTTTTGAAAAGCATTCCATAATTCAGATGTCTCTTAGGCCAGGGGCAGCTGAAAGGGACAGCAACCAGGAACACTAACCGTCTTCAGGACTGTTAGGGTGTCAGTGAGCTCTCCCACTCCAGAGTCGGGCAGGCGGCAGTTCCAAGTTGCTAGTCCTTTAGCCTATGGGGAGTTGGCCCTCCTGGCTCATGCGGCCCTTTGCCCCCACCCCACCCCTTCATCCTGGCTCCTACTCACCATAGGACTGACACACCACATGAACCAGTGGGTACGATTTCCAGAGGACCCGGTCACACCATGAGGGCAAGTTGTACTTCATCTACAAGTGAGAGTCATGGATGTTATAAAATGCCTGCTATTTCTATGTTTTAAAGTCAAAGGAAAGATAAAGTCACCTATGGGGGAATTCCAAGGAGCCCTGGTGGCACAGTGGTTAAACTCTCAGTTGCCAACCAAAAGGTTGGAGGTTTGAACCCACTAAGTGACTGCTGGAGAAAAGATCTGGTGATCTGCTCCCACCAAGATGGCAGCCTAGGAAACCCCATAGACCAGCGCTACACTATCCGGTAGGGTTTCTAGGAGCCAGAATTGGCTCAATGGCACACAACAACAACAGCATGAGGGAGCCCTAGAAAGAAACAACAGTGGGGGTCCGAGTCAGTTTTTTCTTTGATTAAGGCTTTAAGCCTGCTCACTCAACTCAAGTCCCCACTGACCCCACGCCATGCTTTAGTCTCTGCTTCAAGAATGAGGTCAGTTCCTGCGGCTTACATGCCCTTCTCCCTTCCAAATGTCTGGTTTCTTTTCCTCCTCTTTCTTTCTGACTCAGTTGAGTCCCTCTACCCAAACCCTGTGGCCCAAATCAACACGCAATTTCTAATTACACCTACTCCTCATTTATCAACCATCTCGTGACCCAACATTTCTCATTTTCAACAACAGTAAAAACATCTCCTGTCCAACTATTTGGTGCATTAATGATGTTGTTATTGTTGTTGTTAAGTGCCATTGAGTCAGTTCTGACCTATAGCCACCCCGTATAGGGTTTCCAAGGAGCAGCTGGTGAGCTTGAACTGCTGACCTTGCAGTTCAAATGGCTTTACAGTCTGGCGCATTAACCCACAGCGCCACGCCAGGCCTCCACATTAATGATATACATCTGGTAATAATGAGCAGCAAAGTTCAAGGTAAGAGTAATGTTAGCTGTGACTGTGAAAGTTACGTATCAGCTTGGCTGGGGCATGATTCTTGATGACTTGACAATTATGTAATGATGTTGTTGTTGTGAAGTCGAGTTGGTTCCGACCCATAGCAACCTTGTACAGGGCTTCCAAGGAGCAGCTGGTGAGCTTGAACTGCCGACTTTGCAGTTCAAACGACATTGTAGTGTGGTGCATTAACACACAGCGCCACCCCCAGACTCCATGTAATGATTTAGTCATTATTTATTTTGTGATGAGATACGGGCACCCTCCAGTTTCGCATCACATTAATAGTCACGTTGATAAGTGAGGAAAAGGTATAGTATTATTACTTTTTGCCTAATGGGTAAGGACAGACAGAGCCCTAGCGGTACTGTAGGACAAGCACTGGATAACTAAACTGAAGGTTGGCAGTTCAAATCCACCAGCCACTCCGAGGGACAGTCTTAGACACCTTCTAAAAGGTCGCTAGGAGTCAGAATCGACTGGCTGTCAGTGGGTTTTCTGATAAGGGGTCAGGATGCCTTCTACTTTTATTCACCTTAATGGGAATAGAGAGGAGAGGGGGAGGGATGAGGAGAGGGGCAATGTCTATAAAACAGGACTCACCCCTGTTGCTTTCTGCTTAGTGTAGGCGTATTTGTCCCGAGTCAGTCTTTCAAAACGGTAGGTCGGAGCAAATGTGATTTCTTCCTCCTCTGAAACAGGGAAACTTTGGTTTCAGTTTTGACTCCAGCCATGGTTTGAATTGTATCCTCCCCACCCTCCTCACCCCCCAGTTTGTGTTGGGACCCCAGCCCCTGCAGCTGTAGGCAGAATGCCATTTGGAAATAGGTTTTTCTGTGTTATTTTAGTAAGGTCATGCAGTCTAGAGTCTGCATGATTTTTGAAATATAAAAAGAGCAGACAAGACACAGAGAAGCAAGTCCAAGTGGCGAAAAGACAGATGTCACACGGAGATCTCCAAAGAACGTCAGGAACGCCAGAGAGGCTGAGACACGGAAGTTGTCCCAGAGCAGACACCGAAAGTCTTCCCCTAGAGCAGGAGACTGGACTTGAGCCTCTTCAACTGTGAGACAATGTATTTCAGTTCTTTCAAGCCACTGACTTGTGATATTTATATCACAGCAGCACCAGGACACTAAGACACTCCCCAAGTGTCACCTCTGACCCAGTTTCCCTCTTCTCCAGGCAGAATCCTTCCCCTGGAGAGACTCAGGGGGAGGAAGATGTGAAAGTGGCTAGAGAGGTCTAGGCAATGAAGACCGCTGTGCTCACCAAAGTGCAAGAAAACCTTCTGGTCTCTCCTCTCCAGGAGAAGCTGGTCGTGGGCCAGGAGGTCTGTATACTGCTGCTGCTTGATTTTCTGGATGATGACTTCTGCTTCCTGCAAAGGAGACCAATCGGTAAGACCAAGCCACTGGTAAGACACCCCCTCCTCACCAGTACAACCACGAGACACCTTCCACCCTGCCAGGCGGCAGTAGGCCCTGGGATTGCTAGCTTGGAAGCCCAACAAGAGGTGTGTCAACTCTCATTCTGATTATGTAAGTTCTGAGAGATTCTAAACTTCCACATTGACCTTATGTTTGCACTGTTGCTGTTATTAAGTGCTGTGGTGTTGGTTCCGACCCATAGCGACCCTGTATAGGGTTTCTGAGGAGCGGCTGGTGAGCTTGAACTGCCGACTTTGCAGTTCAGCACATTAACCCACAGCACCACACCAGGACTCTTTATGTTTGCATGGGACCTTATATTTGCCTACAGACTTTAAATTTGCATATTGACTTAAACTGTCTTATGTTGTGGTTGAAAACATACAGTCAGAGATGAAAATGTGTGGAAATGGAAATGGTGATGACCACATAGCATACTGAACAACTAAATCAGCAAAAGGATCAAGCTGATTCTGACCCCCACGACCCTAAATGTGAAGAACAGAACTCCTCCATAGGGCTTTCAAGGCGGGGACCTTTCATAGACAAACCTGCAGGCGTGTTTTCTGAGGCACTTCTGCATGGGTGTGAACTGTCCATCTTTTGGTTCGTTGTTTAGTGCTTAACCATTGCACTACTGAGGGTCCCTTATCTATTTTACCACCTTTTTTAACAACAACCAGAAAACCTTCCTGAGAGATGACAAAAGATTTGCTGGTGGACAGGTTGTTAATAGCGGTCTCTGGGCAGACAGACATCACTGCTTGCACGACACCTTTACCTGTCCCATGAACCATCTTTCCAGAGTGCTAAAGAACCAAGCTCTGGTTCTAGCTACGACCTCTGGTGCATGTCTGCTTACTACCTATTCTTACTGGACAACGGGAGGGCATTCCACTCAAGGAATGGTTTCCTTAGGCTCAAGAGTGACCCAGGATTTGGTGAGAAAAATTAACTGACTCCTGAGGTTTCTCTTTTAGGGATTTGGATCCAGCAAGTTGAGGGGCTGTTGCCAGCTTGCTGGATACCCAGAATGCAGAGCAAAGGCCAGGAGAAGGGTCAGTCAAGACAGTCATGTGGGAATGAGAGTTGAACAGAGGGAATTGGAAAAGCTGAGGTGGGGAGTAGCTACCTTGGAGCCAGTGTGACCCACGTGGCACACAGTGACCCCCAAACCTTGAACTAACTCAACGGAACCATGGCCCCACCAAGCATTGTTACCGAGATGGGCAGCTCCACACGATAGTTGAGATCTCCGAGCCAGAAGAGGTGGGTGAAACGGTGAGTGATGTTAAAGGGGCTCAGCTTCTTGTCTCCCAGGGCCAGAAACCGGAGAATGTTCGTGTAGTTTTGGTTTCTCCTATATTAACAACAACAAAAAAGCAGCTATCTGCCATGGGTCATAGGTTCCGTACCCTGTGAGTGCCAGATGTCAGGGGAACTGGGAATCCAGGCTGAATTCTCCATTCCCGCTGTGGAGGGCAGGGCCAGGGGAGCAGCCTGATCTGCTTGGCAGGCAAACCAACAGAGAACATTCTAGATGGCTGTCTTCAATACCTGGCTACTGGCAAGCAAGACGGGCTTTGATTTGTGAGGGCGTCCCAGAAAAGGCTTTTTTCTCTTGAAATGGAGGGGTGTTTGGGTGTCTGTTAACTTAATGTGACCACAGCTGGCAGTAGTCTTTAATGAGACCCACAGAGCCCCTAGTGGCTGATAGGCTATCTACCTAGTAGAGAGGTCTGTGTAGAGAGCCACAATGCACACATGCGTATGTGTGTGTACCTAATCCAGACTCTCTGGCAGATAACTATTTACCTGAGTTTCTTTTCACTTCCCGAAGTCAAATGGCTGTTAACGAATCCCAAAGAGGTGCCATTGAACATGAAGGAAACTCCCACGGCTCCCTTGTTCCCTACAGGGGTTGGGGGGGTAGGAGAAAGAAGTCAAAATAGCAAATAGCTTAAACATGCCCAAGCCAAACCAAACACCAAACCCATTTCCACTGAGTCCATTTCAACTCTCAGTGACCCCAGGTGCATCAGAGGAGAACTATGGTCCATGGGGTTTTCTAGGGCTGATTCGTCAGAAGTAGATTATCAGATCTTTCTTTGAGGCACCTAGGTGGACTCAAACCTCTAGCCTTGTGGTTGGAAGCCAAATATGTTCACCATCTGTACCACCCAGGGAACACCAAACAGCGGGGAAATTAGGAGAACGCTAAGCTGCCAGTACTGACCAGGAGCTATGAGGGATGAGGAGGAGGAAGGGGGAAGGGTTTCCTGGGAGCTCTGTAAGGAAGAAAACGCAGGGGCGTGGCTGGACAGCACGTGCAGGAGCATGGACACTGGCCTGAGAGATGAGAATAGCCAGGTCTGGCAGGTTCCCGAGGGGTCCGGCCCACGGTCTGCTCAGGGGACCCTCTGTGGGTGCTCTTAGAACCCTACCTACTTCTCCAGGGCCTGTGCGTGGGCCGCCTGTGGAGCCCATGGGAGCAGGGCCCCTGTGGCTGGCACCCTGCCTGACACACAGCTGCTCCCTCATGAAGGTCGGGAGGTCAGCTGAAGAGTGGCCTTTGGTTCGCTCAGGTGGCATGAGCACACTGACCGTTGTTGGGAGGGGCTAGTGATAGGGAGAGGTCAGGAGGTCAGGGGAGATGGGAGAAGGACATGAAAGAGGTTCCTGGGCCACAGAAAGTTGTGGGCCACCCAGTGGTGACAGGAAGGAAGGAGGAAAGGAGGTGTGTCTGGCAGTTTGTGGTTTGGTCAGAAATGCTGAGAGGCTCACCCTGGATTACAACACTTCTGCTTCCTGTTACCTCAGGGATGCTACACTGCTCCCGCTGCCACCACCAGAGCCCGCTGCTGCTGCTGCGTGCACCCTCACACAGTGACCCACAAACACACATTCAGTGTGTCCCGCTGCCAGCCACCCTCACACAATGACCCACAAACACACACAGGCTCACATAATAGACTCTCACATTCACACTGGAATTCACATACACACAGGCAGGATCAGTCACGTCATAGCCACACTCCACAAACATGAGCTCTCACGCACACACTCCAACAGGCTCACAATCACACATGCATACACACCCCCATGGTACACAATCACAGATGTTCACTCACTGGCTCACAGTCATCGGTCACACACACACTCAAAACATGCATTACTCTCCCATGTTCACACTCATGTAAGATGTACTACTCACACGTGCACACCACACATACAACAGACTGATATTCACACTGCACATACACATTCACACTCACAAACATATTACTATCATATATCCACACTCATGTAAGACTTTCATACTCACACTTTCATATACACTAAACACACACAAAAGATTCACATTCACACTGCAACACACTCACATAGACACCAACCACACACTCATGCACGAACTCACAAACGTGTATTGATCTCAGCCAGCCATGCTCATGTAATAGGTTTACTCACATGTGTACACAACACACACACACACACACACACACACAACAGCTGCACATCCATACCTCACACACGTCACACACGCATGATTCTCACATACCCATACATGTAATAGGCTTACATATTCACACACATACACACATCACACACTCACAAACACGTATCATCCTCACATGTCCACATTGGCATTACAGAATCACACACACTCACGTGCAGATTCACACACATGTACTCACACTCGGAAATGCACATTCACACAGTTTTCCCGTTACTTCAGTCCTCGGCAGGTTTGCTCCCCTCCCCTCGGGCTCCTAGGTCCACCCTGGGTGGACAGTGACCTTGTCACAGTTGTGGACAAATGCAGCTTTAGTGGGACACAGCCACCTTCCTTCACAATTCCTGCAACCTGGGCCTGCTTTCCTGCCACTATGGCCAGCAGAGTGCGCCAGTCTTAGCCTCTGGCCCTTCACAGCACAAGCACACTGACCCTGCTTCTAGACCATCGATACTTCAAGCGGGTTCGCTGGCCAGCAGCACCCACATGAGCGCGTGCTAGAAATGCAGAGTCCCTGGCTCCCAAAGAATGAATCTGAGCATTCTAACTCGATCCCAGGCGATCGTGGGCATGGCCAAGTTTGAGGTGCACGGGGTGTCACCCGGGAGACATCTAGATGGGGACCAACATGCCCATTTGCCCAAGACCGAGCCTGGCTGTTTAAGCAGGAAAGCCGGGACGCACAGTGCAGGACCCTCCCGGCCCCGCTCACCCAATGTGTTGGCTATGCCGGTCTTGACGTTGTCTGTACAGATGTGGCTTATACGGTTCTCATGCTCTGGCTTGGCCAGCACCACGATGCGCATATTCCACAGGGAGTGGATGGCCATCTGTGGGGGGCAGAGGGGGAAGTGTGTGACACTGAAGTCCTGCAGCCAAAGGTGGTACGACCTCCTCTCCCCGGGGCCCTTTTTGACACCGCTAAACTTCCAGGGAAAGGAGTTCTGGTAGCGTAGTGGTTACGAATCAGGCTGGGAACCGCAAGGTCAGCAGTTCAAAACCACCAGCTGTTCCATGGGAGAAAGATAAGACTTTCTGCTCCCATAAAGATTTACAGCCTTGGAAACCCTATACAGGGTGTCACTATGGACTGGAACCGACTTGATGGCATGGCACATAACAACAACAAACTTCCAGGGAAGCCCTGACCATGCCCTGCAGATGAGAGACAAGCAGTCGGACAGAGGCCTAACGGTTTTAGGTTAAGATTTCTGGCTCCCAGAAATCCCCGGGGTCCCCTCTGGAAGGCGGGGGATGCACATGAAACTCAGATGTCTTTGGGAGTGGGGAGCTCTAGGTGTGGCTGCCTGTGGACACTCCCCTTCCCTGCTGTCCCACCGTTTTAAAGGTCATGCTGGTGATTTCCTGTAGAGACTGTTTGAGAATCTCCAGCCACTCCTTCTCCCCCAGGGGGTCCTCCTGGGTCCCGATCACATAGATGTCATGGGGGATATAGTCGGCTGAGTCGTCCCGTGTCTTGCCCTGCCCCTTGGAGAGAAACCAGGACGTGATCTTCTTGGGAGGGGGGGCGTTACCTTCAACAGCAAAACCCAACACCAAGTGAGTCAAAGGCACAGTCATTCAACAGCATCAGGGGCATCACAGACAGAGGTGGGGGACAGGGGGTGGGGGGGCTGTAAGTTGCTGTGGAGGCAATTCAAAATAAGGCGACCCTGTGTGTGAACAGAATAGCTGTGCTCCAGAGGCTTTTCGAGATTGACTTTTCAGAAGCAGGGGGCCAGATCTAGCTTCGGAAGTGCTTCTGTATGGGTTTGAACCACCAACTGAGACCACAGCATATCATTCAGACAGCTCAACTAGCAGTCCTGTCTCCCAGGAGGTTGGGTAGGCTCAAGGCTCAGTGAAATTTCTGTCTTTTGCTCAACAGTGGGCTTTTTCCTAGAGGGATGATGTGAGATCTACCCAAGGCTTGTAAAGTACCCAAAAATCTCTTCATCTAGAGATTAGGGTCTTTACCTAGAACGTTTCTTGGTGGTTTGGTGATTAAGCCCTCAGATGCTAACCAAAGTCAATGGTTCAAATCCACCAGGTGCTCCACAGAAGAAAGATGTGGCAGTCTGTTTCTGTAACGAGGGCAGCCTTGGAAACCCTATGGGGCAGTGCTACTCTGTCCTACAGGGTCGCTGAGAGTCAGAATCCACCCAACAACAATGGCTTGGGTCTTCTTGTTTTTTCATTTGTTTCTTGTGTGGATTTGTGTTTGTTTCTTGTTTTGTGTTTGTGTTTGTTGACTGCAGTACTGATATGAAAGTAGCTAAGCAGTTAGCACTCAGCTGCCAATCAAAAGATCATGAGACATCTTTCAGGAGTGTCACTGGTTCAAATCCACCAGCTCCAGCCTTGGAAACTCTACAAGGTAGTTCTGCTCACTCCTACAGACTAGGTCATTGTTGAGTCTACATGGTTTTGGTGTTTGGTTGGTTTGGGGATGAGAACATCCTAGAGCTCCTTTCTCTTGCCCACCTCCTCAGCTAAAGGGTGCACTAGTTTAGAGATGGGCTGGGGAGCGGGGAGGGGGAGGCAGGTGCTGACCCTCTGTTGAGGATGCGTGAGGAGATTGTGGGGAAGCAGTGGACGTACCCATGTTCCAGGTACCGATGAAGATGGTGATCATGTCGGGCTCTGGCTGCTCTGAGTGCTTGTTCTTCATCTGCTGAAGAAGCTGGCAGAAGCCTTCTCTTTTCTGGGGACAGGAGGACAGACAGACTCAGACAGGCCTCCGCGACCCTCACTTTTCCCTTTCCAGAGATCTCTGTCCTCATCCACAAAACCCAAGAGGTGATCTATCAGCACAAAAGTCCAGGTGAACGATCTGGAAACACGTGCCCAGGGTCTTAAGAAAATGCCTTCTCTTTGAGCCATAAACCAAGCAAGGCCACCACGATGGGTTTCAGGCCCTAGTTCTCCCACTAGAGACCCTGCCTTGAGCTTCATAGAGCCCACAACACCCCCTACTCCTGAACCACACCTGGCAGGTGCCTCTCTCCTCTGCAGAGTGGGGCAGAGGACAGACATCTGTGGGACAAGCTCTGGTGAGGGGGGTGAGCTCAGAGGGTCTCACAGTCTATCTGGAGAAGTAAAATAATGATCAAACAGTGACCCCACAAGACAATACAGCTGTTTCTAAAGGTCTCCTAGACTTCTTTCATGGTGCTAATGGGTGGGTTCAAACCGCCAACCTTTAGATTAGTCGGGGAATACAAACCATTGTTACCAATCAGGTTGTGTGGGGGAGATGCAGGCATGGGGAGAAACCCTCTCTGTGGGGTGGCAGCTCAGCACGTGAGTAGCACAGGGCAGGGCATGTACACTCGTCAGAGATAACACAGCACAATCCCTGCTAGCCTCCAACAGACTCCCCCACTTTCTGAGCTCAGCTCTCCAGAGTGTGAAAATTTGGGGGACTTATGAGCTCACTCCTGAGCACACTGTGAGGCTCAGACACACGTGCCCCTGGCACCCCATCCCTGCCCATCTTCGAAGTCGGTCGCCACTTACTTTAGAGTCAGCAAAGACGTACTCTTTCCTCAGGGTCTTCTCCTTCTCTGTCTCCACCACAATCACCAACTTGTTAAGAAACTTCTGAGACTTGACGAGCTGCAGGACTTAAGGGAAACGGAAGTCTATGCATCCATTCAGTCAACCAGCAAACACAGAGTTCCCATCATGCCCCAGCCCTGTGCATCAACTCCCCAGAATTCCCGTCTGCTCTCCCACACCCCTCTGCTTCTGCCTGTGCTTCCCAGAAGGGGCTCTGCTTAGTGGATGCTGCAGAGGAAAGCAAGCGGGAGCCTGGTCAGATCAGAGCCATGTCCAGCTGTCCTTCCTCCCTCCCTTCCTCCTTCATCCACCCATTCTTCCCCCCTCCACCTCCCTTCTTCTGTCCTTCCTTCTCTTTTATTTCCCCTTTCCTTCATCTATTCATCCATCCATACCTCTCTTCCTCTTCTTCTTTCCTGCATCCAACCATCTAGCCATCCCTTCCTCCCTCTTACTTTGTCCTCTTTTCCTTCATCTACTCATCCATCCATCCATCCTTCTTCCTCCCTCCATCTGCCATACCTCTCCCTTTCTTCTGTCCTTCATCTATCCATCCACCCATTCTTCCTCCCCCTCCCTCCCTTTCTCCTCTCCTTCATCCATCCATCCATCCATCCATCCATCCTTCTTCCTTTTTTTTGCTTTGCTTTTAATTTAGATACAAATTTAATTGACATTTATGTACTTCTTATTTTTACCAACAATTAAAAGTCAAATTGTTCTGGAGTGTTTTAACTCTGCGGGCTGACTAGTCTTGTTTATTGTTTCTCCATTAAAGAACCCAAATCAAACTTTTCTCAGGAGGCAGAGGGGGAGATGAGGTGGTAAATAAAGAGTCACACACACACACACACAAAGTCAAATCATTCTGGAACATTTTTTACAAACAACCTTCTCCCTAATTCCTCCAATGCTCTGCTTCCTAGAAGCAATCAGTTACAACTCTCCTACTGGTGTTTTTTTGCCTCGTGTCTCTAAATAGCACACTGATGTTGTCACTTCCTGATGCTTCTGTTTTAGAGACTCCCTGTTCCATACTGGGAGTTCTGGCAGTACAGTTGGGTAAGTGTTGGACTGCTAACCACAAGAGGTTCAAACCCACCAGAAGAAAGATGAAGCTGTCTGCTGCAGTAAAGATTCAGTCTCGGAACCTCCAGAGGGTTGCTGTGAGTCAGATGGGTCTGGTTTTTGGATTATTACACATTGACTTCTCATTATGGAACATGAGGGTCAAGCTCTTTTTCAGTTACACTATTCTGCTTTATTTATTTGTTTATTTGCTACTGAGTCATATTCAACTCATGGTGACCCCATGTGTGTTAGAGCAGAACTGGGCATTGTAGGGTTTTCAATGGCTGATTTTTTAGAAAGTAGATTGCCAGACCTTTGTTCTGAGGTGCCCCTGGGTGAATCTGAACCTCCAACTTTTTGGTTCACAGCTGGGCTTATTCGCCGCTCCATGGAATGTGTTGCTATGCTAAAAATACTGTGTCAACAAAACATCTTAGCTGTGCAGGGCTGGGCCTCACCAGGCGGTGTGTGGTGGGTGATAGAAGGGTCAGGGAGGCAGACACACACAGATGCCACCAGGGTGAGGTGTGCCAAGTGCATCCCCAGTGGTATGAACCCACTCCTCAGGGGTCCCGAGGAAGGAGGCACAGGGGAGGAACCTTAGGAATGGGCAAGCAATCCCCAGACAGTTGCAGGGGCATCCCAGGGGAGGGGCCAGGGTGGAAGGGATATGCCCGGTAAGATTCATGCTCTCAGCTGAATTGTGTCACCCTCAGAAGATGTGTTAGAAGGCTGACCCCCTATCCCTGGTTGGGAATGGGGTTCTCTTTGGTATGTATATGAGATCTGATCAGAATAGGTCGGATCCTAAACTTAATCATTCCTGAGTTATAAAAAGAGCAGAGAGGTCACAGAGACAGGCTAAAACAAAGAAAGGACCCTCAAGGGATCAAGGAACTCACAGAGAGAGCCTTTCCCTAGAACTGACGCATTGCATTCTCATGTGTGGTTTCCTCAACTGTGAGAGCAGAAACATCTGCTCTCTGATGTCACCCACATTGGGGGTTTCTGGTGCAGCTGCTCTGGGGAGTAAGACACCTGGCTTCCGCTCGTGAGCCATCCTGAGTAGTGCTCCCATAGAACAAGATGGAGACGGGCAGGAAAGGGCCTTACTTTTCTTGTGGCTGTAAAACTTGTCCTCGGACCCATCCTTGGACTTCTTAACGATCAGTTTCCCTGACTCCACATCCACCTTGAGCTGCACTTTCTGAGGGATCCCCAAAGAGTCCAACTTCACCTGCAAGGAGGAGGGGGAATGTTAGTTGCTGTCTGTCTGGGGTTTTGCCATACCGGCTGGTGAGCCCCTTTTCCGTGCTGGGCAGTCCTGGTCAGCGATGCCCTGGAGGCTGTGTGAGAGCCATTGGGATCTTCTTTCTTAGCTGTCCCTAGTGGAGTGGCATGCATCCACAACCCACGGTGTCTCAAGCGAGGAGACCAGCTGGTCCATTGTGTGTATGGCAGTGGGTCTGGTGGCGGGAACAGATGATGGGAGAATGAATGGTTCACTAACTGACTCACTTGCCAACACTCATTCATCTGATGCGTCATTGACTTCCAGGATGCATTCTAGCATCAGACTTATGGCTCACAGGCCTGGTAGCAACCAACAGCGGCACACTTACAATCATTAGAAAGAAGAGAACTTGCTTACACAGGGTCATCGAATGCAATGTGTCCTGAGACTACAGTACCACCAGGGCTGGAGAGGACTTTGGGGGTGAGGTTGGGGCCTTGCAGTGTGTTTCTGAACACAGGGTTGGCTGCGTTTGAAGCTCTAAGAAACCTTTAGAAAAACAAATTTCCCTAATTCACAAGAATGGTACATTTTGTCTTCTAAGTTCCACCCTGGGGACTACTTTGCAGCCAGTTTGAGGGCTCCCTGTTTATTCTGCCCACAGTGAGAAGGTCAATGTTTGTGGCCCCTTGGGTCTATGGGAAGCTCTTCAGAGTCTCTCCATGAGGGGTACCCACAGATTCACCAGGCCCCCATCCTCCTGTTTAATCATCTTCACAATGAAGCAGTTTTCTGACTGCCAGGTTTGACTTTCTAGTTTCTTCTCTCTCATACAGCCCAAGCCCAAAGCTCTCTTTCCACAAGGTTCAGAACATCCCCCAGCTTCCAACCTTGGGGCACAAACCTGGGCTTCACTTACCTCAAAGGTGACTGGAGGGATAAGGGAGCGCCGGTGAGGAGACTCAGGACCCTCGTGTAACAGGGCCTTGACCTATGAACACAAAAGCACAAGACCCTTCAGGCTGGGAGGCATGAAAAGAGATGGAGGGTCCAAAACCTGTGTGTTTTCTGAGCAAAGAGGGACCCAAAGAGAAGTGCAGAGAAGCTTCCAGAGCCCCGCAAGTACCTTATCTTCAATCGAGGACAGCAGACTTGTCAGTTGACTGAGCTTGGCCACCATGTTGACAGGATTGGCCTCACCAGGCACCTGGGAGGGAGAAGATGTGAGGGCAGCATCCGTTGTGGCTGGGCCAGTGAGTGGACCATGCTGAGCACTGTCCATGCCTCATCTCATCGTCCCAACAACCCTACATTCGCTCATTAGCCGCCTTAAGCAGACAAAGAAACCAAGGGTATCTGCAACTATCTCAAAATCACCATGGCCAAAAGGCCCTCTCGGTCTCTTCTTCTCACTTCACTACCCAGTTGCTTAAGCTACATTCTAGGATCATCCCTGGTTGAGATCTTTTCTCTCTCCTCTCTCTCCCACACTGGTGGGTCAGCTCTAGGTCCAGGACAGCACCATTCCCACTGCTTCAAACCCTTGTTGCTTCTCACTACCAGGTGAAAGCATTCAAACACTGTTCTCTGTCTTCTTTGGCGGCTCTGTAGGATCCAATCTCTCATCCCTAGAGGGTCTTCCCCTTACCATGCACTCCTGAGCTACATGTAGCCGTGAGCTTAGATCACACCAGGGAAGGGTACCTGCTCTCAGAGCCACAAGACCCTCTAGCTAAAACAGCCACAGAGCCATCTTTGCCACATCACTCTGGTGTCCTGATGTGTGGCTCTGTAGGATAAGCACTGGACTGCCAACTGCAAGCCAGCAGTTCAAAACCACCAGCCACTCCTCAGAAACCCTATCTCTATGAGTCAGAACCAACTTGACGGCACTTTACAAGAACAACTGCCAACTAAGTTGAGTCAAGTCGGTTTTGACTCACAATGCCCCCCATGGGTGCAGAGTAGAACTGCTCCCTGAAAACAGAGTAGAACTGTTTTCAAGGCTGTGCTCTTTCGGCCTTGAAACGACTACCAGGCCTGTATTCCCAGATGCCTCTGGGTGGTTAGAAATGCCAACCTTTCGGCAGAGGTAGTGTACCCAGTTACAGTGTCTCCTTCATTTATTTGTTTGCTGTCTCCTTCCCCTGCTAGAGGAGAAGCTCTGTGAGAAATGGGTTCATCTACTTTGCTTAGTGTTGTATCTTTGATGCCTAGATCAGTGCCAGGCCAAGGAAAACGCTCAGTATATTTGTTCAGTAAATACATGAGGCCCAGGAGCCGAAGTTATTTGTCTGAAGTCACACAGCTAGAAATAGTAGAGCTGGACTTGAATCCTGTCTGTCTGACATCAAGGCTATATTCTCAATCATTCATTCTCAGAACACACCTTTACTAAGCCATGCTTTGAGAGGCCAGAGAAGTAGCATAAATAAGACCTCATTTCTGCAAGAACATCAGATAAATACAGCACTAACCTGAAGATCAAAGAGCACAGCCTTCGGCATGGATTGCAGCTCAATATAAAGAAAACAAAAATCCTCACCATTGGACCAATAAACAACATTCTTATCAATGGAGAAAAGATTGACGTTGTCAAGGACTTCATTCTTCTTGGATCAACTATCAACACTCATGGAAGCAGCAGTCAAGAGATCAAACGACCTATTGCGTTAGGCAAATCTGCTGCACAGGAACTTTTTAAAGTGTTGAAGAGCAAAGATGTCAGCTTGAGGACTAAGATGCGCCTGACCCAAGCCATGGTATTTTCAATAACCGCATGTGCATGTGAAAGCTTGACAGTGAATAAGGAAGACCTTAAAAGAATTGATGCTTTTGAGTTATGGTGTTGGAGGAGAATATTGAAAGTGCTATGGGCTGCCAAAAGAACAAACAGATCCATGTTGGAAGAAGTGCAGCCAGAGTGCTCCTTGGAGGTCAAGACAGACAAATTTCATCTCTCGTTGTTGTTGTTAAGTGCCATCAAGTCGGTTCCGACCTATAGCAACACTGAATGGGGTTTCCGAGGCTGTAAATCTTTACGGGAGCAGAAAGCCTCATCTTTCTCCCGCAGAGCAGCTGGTAGTTTCGAACTGCTGACCTTGTGGTTCGCAGCCCGATTCGTAACCACTATGCTGCCAGAGCTCCTCATCTCTCATACTTCGGACATATTGTCAGGGGGGACCAGTCACTGGAGAAGAATATCATGTTTGGTAAGGCCAGAGAAAACGAGGAAGTCCCCCAACGAGATGGATGGCCAAGTGGCAGCATTGATGGACTCAAGCGTGGCAACAGTAGTGAGGTTGTCCCAGGATCGGGCAGTGTTTCGTTCTGCTGTGCATAAGGTCACTATGAGTCGGTACTGACTCAATGGCACCTAACAACAACAACCTGAAGACCAAGAGGAATGGAATCCAGGTGCTCACCAACAAGGTGATGTGTCTCTGTCCACCTCATCCCTTGCTCACTGTGTCAGCCTGACCACGCTTCAGTTTCCACCCAGGAGTACACTGTCTCCACTGGCATGCCTACCAACATCATCCATAGCATCAACAGCACCATCCGGGCCACTTCCACCAGCACCTCTAGTACCAGCACCACCACCACGCTCCCCATCTCCACACAGCAGCATCCTCAATGTCTTAGATCCCTCCTCAGGGGTTTCTAGCTTTAGTCCTCAGTGCAGTCTTCCTTTCAAACTATATCAATTCGAGTGTCTAGAGGGGTCCCTCTTTTACTTAGGTCTGCTTTTACTTTCCAGGAAGTCTGCCCATCATTCGCTTCTCAGGAAGCAAATTCCTTTGATTAGTTTTTAAAATGGTACAAATAGAACACAAATCCATTTTCTCTGTAAAAAAATCTCAAACCATATGCACAAACGTGAAGTCTCCGTTCATCTGACCCTCTTCTCCCATGCGTCATGCCCTCTCTTATGGGAACCAGAGTGGCCATTTGGGTATACATCCTTCTGGTATACTTTCTCGTTAGACTTACCCAGATTTTAGAAGCTGTTCTGCGATTTGCCTTCCTAACCCTGCCCCCCACCACAGTGTGTCTTGGGGGAGGGTCTTTCCTGATCTATATCTACTGTTGTTGTTAAGAGTCATTGAGTTGGTTCTGACTCATAGCAACCCTGCATAGGGTTTCCAAAGTTTTAAACCTCTGCAGGAGCAGAAAGTCATATCTCCCCCCTCCCCCCCCCCAGAAGCGGCTGGTGAGCTCGAACTGCCAACCTTGTGGTTTGTAGTCCAGTGCTTATTGTTTGGAGCTACTGCGCTCCCCAAATGGACAAGAGCATTACGAAAAGTCTGAAATATATGGAGAATTACCAACATGGGACAGAGACACAAAGTGAGCACAGAGACACACAAAACTAGCATTGATGAACTTGCTTGAGGTAGAGTTGTCCCAAACCTTCAATTTGTGAAGAACACCCCCTACCCCCAGCATCTGCAAAGCACAAAAATCCAGGTATGCTTGTCTTTCGGAGTGAAGATGTTTCAGGAACAAGGAACTGAAAGCGTAAAACTCTTCTTAGCCCTGTCTACATACGGTTTCAAATTCTAAAAGGCAAAGTATGGGTGATTTATATTCCCCAAAAAGCTATGTTCCAGTCCTAACTCTTGGTACCTATGAAATGTCTCATTGGGAAATACTGTCTTTGCTGATGTAATGACTCAACATGAGTTCATATTGGAGTAGGATAAGCCGGGCACCCCACTATGACTGGTATTGTAAGAGACACAGAAACTGAGGGAAGATGGACATAGTTTTCTCTTTGTTGTTGTTAAGTGCAATTGAGTCAATTCCGACCCATAGCGACCCTGTATAGGGTTTTTAAGGGGCCGCTGGTGAGCTTGAACCACCGACTTTGCAGTTGGAACGACGTTGCAGTCTGATGCATTAGCCCACAGCGCCACACCAGGACTCCAGTTTTCTCTTTAGCCCTGTGGAAATTTTTTTGAGAGAATTTATTTTCCAGATCTTCTCTTTGGTCCATGGCAAGTGAAGCATGGGCTAAATTGTTTCCCTGCACCCTGGAATTGTAGGGCTTTCCACCATACTGAAATCATTTCTCCACAGCAGCTGCCCGCGTTGTTTACTTTTAGACACAAAGCTACAAAGAACGTCGCTGTAAACACCTCTCTGGGCATATGTGTATTCCCTAAGACAGCTGCCTAGCGCAGAATGGCTCATGTGAGGATGTGCCCATTTAATATTTCCATACAAATGACTAACTTTCATTTCCGCTCCCCCAGTGTTTACCCTCAGGAGGGCCCTACTTCCCTGAAGCTTTGCCAGCCTTGCCAAACTCTGACTTTAGCAGTCTTTTGCCAGTCTAATATTTAATAGGCAAGTAGAGATGCTTTTTTTCTTCTGAATGTCATTTTCTGGTTACTACAAAGCCCGGTGGTGTAGTGGGTTAAACGTGGATCTGTTAGCTGCCAGGTCAGTAGTTTGAAGCTACCTGCTACTCCAAGGAAGAGGCAGTCTGCTTCTGTACTGATTTACAGTCTCGAAAACCTAAACGGGCAGTTTTACTCTTTCCTACAGGTGCTCTAAGAGTCAGAATTTACTAGGAGGACCTGGTTTTGGGGTTCTTTAGGAGATGATATTGAGTACCTTTTTATGGTCCCATTTCTTAGGGCTTTCCCTCCAACCCCATGGCCCTTTACCTGAGCACGTGGACGGAGGCCAGGGGAGAGCTGCTGGTCAAACAGGCACTGCAGAGACTCCAGGGAGGGAAGGGTCCGGACCACCTCACTGCGGGACAAAGGTTACTGAGACCTCAGGGAGTGGTTCTTAAGGTGGTTCAGGCTCCAGCCAGAGACCCGGTCCCGTCTGGCCGGGTCCCAGCAGGTTTTCTTCCCACAAGGACAAGCCCGGGCAAAACCCCAGGCCTCCCAGCTCCTGCCCCGCTGCCTCCCCATCTCCTGCACCCCCACACAGAACCAATTTCACCTGGAGTGCTCCTGAAATCCCTCAGGAGAAAATCCAACAGTTCACCAGCTAGTAAACCCTAGTGCTCCACCTTCCAAGCAAGCCTTTAAGAATACACATCCCCCACCCCCTCAATTTAAAATGCAAATATCCAGGACCCCTCCTGCCAGATTGACTGGTCTGGAATCTACATTTTAAAAGGAGTGCTTCTTGGAGGTGGTGGTGCAGTGACTTAAACTGATCTTTTAAAAGTCAGTTGGTGATGTTTGGGTTGGGTTTTGGTGACTGTGGTATATGGATATTGGTTCAAATGCCCTCTGTAGCCACCAAGTAAGAGCCTGGTGATGCAATGGTTAAGCACTCAGCAGCTAAAGTGATTAAAGTCAAAGTTGAAGTGGTTAAGGTCAGTGGTTCGAATTCACACAGTGACACTAAAGGAGGATGATCTAGCACACACAGGGTGATTCTACTCTGTCCTGAAGAGCATCACGGAGTTGGAATCACCTGGATGGTGCCAACAACAGTAACTACAATCTCTGAAGTGGAGGCCCCAGGACCTTCAAATCTGCTGACCTTCTCAATCCCAGGCCATATTGAGGCTTTCCTTCCCATGTTTTTTTTCCCCACGTTATTTTAAGCATAGTGGAGGGACAATTTTGCGCTTTCATTTTCACTGATATATTTCATCAAAAATTGTTCATGTTTTCCCATATTTGACAGTCTAATGGTTTCCAAATATTCTATTCATTCAATGTGCCAAAATCGATTGCTAGATATTTGGGCTATTGGGAGAGCTTAGCTACTATAAATAAAGGCTGCTCAGAACAGCTTTGTTCATGTAGCTTTTCTCTTCTTATTTAGAATTACAGTCTTTAGATAATCAGAGATTATCGCTTGTGATAAATAATGCCAAACCCTGGAAATATCATCAATCCTAGGGCCACGGGAACTGTTAGAACCAGTTCTTCTGGAGTTTTTTCCAAATTCTTTCTATGATTTTATTTTTCTCAGTCTCTTTTAGTGGGTGTTAACGTTTCATTTCAATATTCATGACACTTATTTGCAAATTTTACATTTCAATAAAAAGATCTTGGGGAACCATTCAGTGCTCAGTGGGGGTGGGTTCAAACCCATATATCCAGCAGCTTTGAGGAAGAAAGATCCTGTGGCAATCTGTTCCCATAAAGAACAACACCTAGAAAATCCCACAGGACAATTCTACTCTATCAGATTAATTTAATGGCACTTGATGCTTTTGAGTTATGGTGCCTGAGGATAATAGCGAAAGCATCATGGACTGTCAAAAGAACCAACAGATCTGTGTTGGAAGAAGTGTAGCCAGAATGCTCCTTGGAGGCCAGGATGGCCAAATTTCCTCTCTTAAACTTCGGACATATTGTCAGGAGGGACCAGTCGCTGGAGAAGGATATCATGTTTGGTATGGTGGAGGGTCAGAGAAAAAAAGCAAGACCCCCAGCGAGATGGATTGGCCAACTGGTAGCATCAATGGGCTCAAGCATGGCAACAATAGTGAGGTTGGCCCAGGACTGGGCAGTGTTTCCTTCTATTGTGCATAGGGTCATTATGAGTCAGTACCAACAACAACAACAACAAGTGTTATCAAATATTTTTCTACTTCACTGATTTCTGCGGGATTTAATAGTCTAAACTACTCATGCCTTTTGTCAAATTTCTCTTGGGAATTTTGTTAATGTTTTCATATATTGGTATAAATCTTCACATATTGCTGAGTTTTACTTAATCTAGGTGTTGCACTTTCCCCCACCCCCACCCCACCCCAGTCTGTTATTTTCATCCTAAGTGGGCTGGATTTCATTAGAAAATGATTTATTCTTTTCTATTGTTTTAGTCTTCCTCCGGAGTCCTGGTGTGGCGCTGTAGGATAAACACTGGACCACGAGTTCAGTTTGAATCTCAAGGCTGGAAGTTCAAACTCACCAACTGCTCTTTGGAAAGCCTACACAGGGTCACTATGAGTCGGAAATGACTCAATGGCACTTAACAACAATTCTTTATCTTGGTAAAGTCATTAACAAATGGGAGCAATTATTTGCTCATATTTAGTTGGCTTCTTGTTCACTCTTTTAAAAATTATAGCATGTTGTTGTTAAGTGCCTCAAAACAACCCTGTACAGGATTTCCGAGGAGCAGCTGGTGGATTTGAACCACAGATCTTGCAATTCAAACAGACATTGCAGCCCAGCGCTTATCCTACAGTGCCGTACCAGGACATATGCATATACTTATATGTAATGTTGCTATTGTTGACTGCTAATGATTTGGCCCCTGTGATGACACCACTCACAATGACACAAAATGCTGCCCCATCTAGTGCCACCCCTATCAGATCAAACTGTTGTGATCCATCGCATTGTCTATTGACTGATTTTCGGAAGTAGATGTCCAGGTCTTTCTTCCACTCCATCCCATAGCAACATACAAGCTATGACAGATGGGCAGTGGCCATGCAGGAACTGGACTGGTCAGGAATCAAACCCAGGTCTCCCATATTGTTGTTGTTAGGTTTCATCAAGTCTACCGACCCATAGCGACCCCATGCACAGCAGAACGAAACACTGCCCGGTCCTAAGTCAACCTCACTACTGTTGCCACACTTGAGTCCATCAATACTGCCACATGGACAATCCATCTCGTCGGGGGTCTTCCTGTTTTTCTCTGACCCTCCATCTTACCAAACATGGTATCGTTCTCGAGCGACTGGTTCCTCCTGACAATATGTCCGAAGTATGAGAGACAAAGTTTGGCCATCCAGGTCTCCAAAGAGCACTCCGGCTGCACTTCTTCCAACACGGATCTATTGGTTCTTTTGGCAGCCCATGGCACTTTCAGTATTCTCCTCCAATGCCATAACTCAAAAGCATCAATTCTTCTACGGTCTTCCTTATTCACTGTTCAGCTTTTGCAT